AACCAAGGGAGCACAAAAGAGAGAAAGGGGGGGAAAATGCATTTGTTAGAACAAGGGGCAGGCCCAGCTTGAAACTGCAAAGTTTCAGCTTGGATTGATCATCTCTGGGGCTCTTTTGTCAGGCCTGCCTCCTGGAGCCGTAATGCAACAGCCGGAGAAGAAAGGAAGGCGAAGGAGGAGGCTGCTTGCACCCTACCCTCACCTCCTCCGCATCCCCACAGCAAGATAAGCCTGACAACAGGCTAGGCTCAGGACAGGAGGGAGAGCTAGAGCCCAAGACAACCCCCTGCAACCCCACCCCCCAACCTAGTTAAGTGCTAACCTCGGGCATCACAGGCACACCCAGCCCCTCTGCTACGGGCCCTGCCAGTGGTGAGCTCCAGATGAGGCCAGCCCCTGCACAGCGATGCCCAGAGAGAGATGCTGCCGGCCAAGCACCCAAAGCTCCCCACCGTGCTCCCGGCCAGGGTTAACCCTCAGCAGACCGTGGGGACCTCAATGGATTGGGGTGCCACAAAGGGTCCTGTTAGACCGAGAGTGGGCTCTTGCTGGCCATCCCTACCTGCGCAGGAAGGCAGAGGGTCAAACAGACCCGCGCCAGAGGGACAAGAACAGGGTCTATCCCCGGCAAGCCCGACCTGAATCCCCGGACTGCCCAAGCCCTGAGACCCCCAGCGGGTTCCCCCTGTACGGGCAGGGGGCACGGAGGCCACTTACCTGTCCCTCCGCCGCCGCTGGCTTCGGGTGGCCGCCCGCTGGCCACGTGGACGCGCCCCTGAGCCCCACACTGGCCCCGCTGGCGCGCCCCCGCTACCTCGCCTCGCGCCCAGCGCCTGGCGCCCTGCGCGCGCCGCCGCCACCGCCCACACACTGGGCCGGCCCGCGCCAGCCGGGGCCTTTTAAGTCCGGACCGTACCACCGCGCTGGGCGGGGGCGCCCGAGTGGCAGCAGGCATGGGCGTTCCTTCCCGGGGCTAAGGGGCCCGGCACGCAGCGCCGGCCCCCAAAAGGCCGCGGGGGATCCCTACCCAAGGACCCGATTCCCTTCGCTTAATTGCCGTGTCCTCGTTACGAGCCTCTCAAGCCCCCCAGCTCCCCGCCCTCTGCCTTGGGCGACCCTGGAACCCGCGCGCGCCCGCGCCACACCCCCCTCGGGCCTGGGGCGCGCGGCCGCCCCGCCCCGTCCAGGCGATCGGAGGTGTGCCTGGGGCCACCTGCTGCCCCTGCGTGGCCTCCTTGTCCTGACCGCCCAGGTGCGTGGCAGCGGAAGCCTCCCTTTCGGTTCCAAGCTCATCCCTTCCCCCAGTTGGCCACCACGACCCGGTATCGCGGGCTTTCATTGCCTTGGTTTCTTTCTCCTCTTCTTTTTAAACAATCTTATGGAGATACAGCTTGGCTATCACATGTCACCCATTGTAAATGTACAATTCAATAGGAGCCATGGGCAACTATGGCCAGTGTCTAATACCAGAACATTTCTGTCATCCCCCAAAGAAACCCGGTACCTGTTAACCTCCACTCGCATTGCCCCTTAACCCAGCTCCTGGCAACCACCCATGTACTTTCTGGCTATGTGCTTCTCAGTTCTGGCCATCTGAAATAAATGCAATCATGCAATGTGTTTGTGTCTTCTTTCACTTAGTATAGGTTCACCCATGTTGTACCCATGTTCATCCATGGATCAAGACTTCATTTCTGGAGCCAGTGCTGTAGCACAGCGAGTTAAAGCCCTGGCCTGCAGCGCCAGCATCCTATATGGGCACCGGCTTTGGATCCAGCTCTCTGCTGTGGTCTGGGAAAGCAGTAGAAGATGGCCCAAGTACTTGGGCCCCTGCACTCACGTGGGAGACCCGGAAGAAGCTCCTGGCTCCTGGCTTCAGATCGGCTCAGCTCTGGCCATTGCAGCCATTTGGGGAGTGAACTAGTGGATGGAATTCTCTCTCTCTCTCTCTCTCTGCCTCTGCCTCTCTGTAGCTCTGCCTTTCAAAAATAAATAAATAAATAAAAATGTTAAAAAAGACTTCATTTCTTTGTTATGCATGGGTTTGGCATGGTGGCACAGTGGGTTAAGCCACCACTTGTGGTGCTTGCGATGCCTGCAATCCACATTGGACCGCCGTTTCCAGTCCCAGCTCTCTGCTACCGATTCAACATTCCTGCTAATTCATCTGGATAGGCAGCAAATGACGGCCCAAGTCCCTGGGACCCTGCCACCCACATGTGAGACCCCAGTGGAGTTCCTGGCTCCTGGCTTTGGCTTGGCCCAGCCCTGGCCATTACAACCATCTGTGGAGTGAACCAGTACATGGAAAATCTCTTTGTGTGCCTTTTGAATAATTAAATAATAAGTCTTTACCAAAAAATTCCATGCATGCATAGACCACATTTTATTTATCCAATGGGCATATATTCTGGTAGTTTACACCTTGTGCCCACCAGTAGTGTATGAGGGTTCTAGTTTCTCCACATACTCTCTAATACTCTTTCAAATAAATAAAAAAGTATTTATTTATTTGAAAGACAGAGTTACAGAGAGAGAGGTCTTCCATCCACTGATTCACTCCCCAGATGGCTGCAATGGCCGGAGCTGTGCCGATCCAAAGCCAGGAGCCAGGAGCCAGGAGCTTCTTCTGGGTCTCCCATGTGGGTGCAGGGGTCCAGGGACTTGGGCCATCTTCTACTGCTTTCCCAGGACATAGCAGAGAGTTGAAGTAGAGCAGCCGGGTCTTGAACTGGTACCCATATGGGATGTAGGCACTGCAGGCGGCAGCTTTACCCACTACATCACAGCACCGACCCCCCCCCCATACTTCTTAATGTTTAGTATTTTTATTATTATTACAATGTTCATACCCCTGGGACAAGGGTTACCTCATTACCTCATTGCAGTTCTGCTTCCCATTTCTTTGTTGACTAATGATGTTGACCACCTTTTCATAGCATTAGCGGCCATTTCTATGTCCTCTTTAGAGAAATGTCTAACTCCTTCGCCTATTTTTCACTGGAATTTTCTGTTGTTGAAATAGAGAAGTCTTACATATTCTGAGTATTCATCCTTTGTTAGGTATGAAGTACTTTACTATATATATGATTTTCTCTCATTTTGTGAATTCCCTTTTCACTTTTTTTTAAAGATTTATTTATTTATTTGAAAGTCAGTTACACAGAGGAGAGGCCGAGAGAGGTCCTCCATCCGCTGGTTCACTCCCCAGATGACTGCAATGGCTGGGTCTGAGCCAGGCTGAAGCCAGGAGCCCAGAACTCCATCCAGGTCTCCCACGTGGGTGCAGGGGCCCAAGTACTTGGACCATCCTCCACTGCTTTCCCAGGTGCATTATCAAGGAGCTGGATCAGAAGTGGAGCAGGCGAGACTTGACCCAGCGCTCTAAAAGATGCTGGCAAATCAGGTGGCAGCTTAACCCACTGCACCACGTCCACAATCCCACCTACTTGTGCTTTTGTTGTCTGATAAATCATTGCTTAATCCCAGAGCACAACAATGTACACATGTCTACACCTAAACTCTTTATGGTATTAAGCCTTAAACGTAGGTCTCTGATCCATTTGGACCTATTTTCTACATATGTGAGGCTGTGGTCCAAGCTTATTCTTTTGCATGTGGATCTCTAGTTGTCCTAGAGAGACTGTTGGTTCTCAGTTAAGCGGTCTGGGCTTTCTCCTGGAAAACCATTGACTTCAGACGTCTGCGTTTGTTTCGGAGTTCTCACTTCTGTCCCAGTGATCTTTACACCACACCACACGGTCTTGATCACTGTAGCTTTACCTCAAGTGTTGAAACTAGGAAGTATGAAGCCAGGAGCTTCTTCTGGGTCTCCCACATGGGTCCAAGTATTTGGGCCATCTTTCACTGCCTTCCCAGGCCATAAGCAGGTGGCTGGAATGGAAGTGGAGCAGCCGGGACTCGAACTGCCACTTCACATGAGATGCCACTGTCACACACAGCACCTTAACCCCCTGCACATCAGTCCCAGCTCATTTGCTATGCAAACTTTTGTGGATGAAACATTAAAACTCTACATTAAAGGTTAGTGCCAGAGATACCATGTGCGCCGCCTCAGCTCAGCACCCGTCCCTGGGATTCCAAGCCTGGGCGGGGACTCAGTAGGGAGGCCGGATGCAGCCTGGTCATCAGGGGCTTGTTTCCAGAAGCAGCAGGGCTGACGCTGGCTCCTTCAGAGACCACCCGCCAATGCGCAGGCCGCTGTCGGTGGCTTCTCAAAGGCAGGAAGGCGTTGGCATGAAGGAACGGGGACCCCTACGAGGCTCCTGGGACCCGCTAAAGGCCTGGCCTCCCCTACCTCTTCTCTCTTCCAAGTAACCCCAGACGGCCCCACCTCCAGCACAGGGCCAGGAACCTGAGACAGGGCCCAGCTGCCAGCCAGGCCTCCCCGGCCACGGCTGAATGGGACCCGGGGCTTCTGCCCAAGCAATGTCCACTGCCCACCCCTGCAATTCTGCACACTGGCTAGGGACGTGGGTCCAGACCGAGAGCTGAGGGCTTCCCCGCGGCTCACAGGCTGCCCCTCCTCTCTGCCTGACCACAGATGAGGGGAGGATGGCTTGCAGCAGCGAGCTGTCAGCTCACCTTCCTCAGCCCCCTCAGCCACGCCTCCCTGCCTCAGCTTACTCAAAACTTGGCAGAGGGAGGGGCCACAGCTTCTGGCCCTGGGGTCACAGAACACACCCCTCAAGCTGCTTCCTGCCCCTGGGCCGCACCTGCTCCGGACAGTGTGAGCAGGGCAGGCAGGCACGGCATCCAAGCAGCGGAGACCACCACTCCCCCTCCCGCCCTGCCAAGCACACGGTTTCTCCCTGGACGTGTACAAGCCATCCACCCCGAGAGACCGGAAGCAGGCCAGGGTGGCCGAGGCCTGGGGGAGCGGGGTGGGGGGGAGGTGACACTGCACGGTGCCCGGTGACGAAGTGCTGGGCTTACAGGTAGGTTTCACCGCGGGAGAGGAAGATGCCGCACAAACACACTTTCCCGCAGTGCACCTGCTCCAACTCTGACAAGTGCATTCTTTTTATTGTAAAAGAGAAAGGCAGGGGATGGCGCTGCCAGGGTTGGGGCAGCCAGACGTCCAGAGCCACGACGACACAGCGGCGCGCCCGGGGAGGCCGGAGGGGAGGCGAGACCACGCCGCCTCCCAGGATGCTCAGCGGATCTGGTGTGAGGATGAGGAGGGCACAGGGGCAGAGAAAGAGACGAGATGAGCCGGGCTGCCTGGCAGCTGCCCGCCTGGCAGCAGGGGGCCGTCCCCGCCTCCTCACTCACCGTGTACTTGTCCCACTTCTTCTCGGGGTCGTAGGGTTCCCAGCGGCTGGCGGGGAAGATATGCTTGTTTTTTTCATACCAGCTCCTCAGCACCACCTTGCCAGCATGGGACTGCGGAAGGAGACGGCCCTGCAGCTCTGCCCGGAGCCACGTGACCCGACACCTCCCGCCCTGCCCTTGGCTGCGGGCACCCAGCGCACCTCATCCTTCTCCACGGTGGCGTCACTGAGCAGCCGCACATCATCGTGAACGTCGAAGTTGAAGAGTGGCCCTGCAGGGGGACGACACAGCCCAACATCGCGCTGCCGCCCCGCCACGGCTGGGGCAAGACGCCGGCGGAGGCTGGGCGGGGGCACTCACCACTCTTTCCCCGGGCCTTGGTGACGATGAAATCATAGAAGCTGTGATGCTAGGAGCCAAGCACAAGGAAGGAAGTGCTGACGGCTGCCTGGCTCAGCCGCACCCACCCCTGTCACAGGCAGGCCCGGGGCCGGGGGCACTCACGTGGGGGATGATCAAGTCCTCCTTGATGTACATGAGCTGCTCCACGCCTGCCGACCTGAGGACGAGAGGCAGGAGGGGCTGGGCGCACAGACGGGGAGGGCGGAAGCAGCCAGCGAGGAGAGCTGAGCCCTCCCACCAAGCTCTCTCCGAGGGCAGGAAGGACGGCGGAGCCCGACCCTCGTCTTTGGGGCGCACAGTGCCCTCTGTGCCGCCTTCCTACGCAGGGAGCACTCGTGCGGGGCCTGCTGCCATGGGCATGCGCGCACTCCTCACCTGAGCTCACTGAAGTCTTTGCGAAGGATCTCGAGCGCCTTCTGTAGGAACTGCTGCATCGTGTTGCCCTTCTTCATCTGTGTGAGACGCCAGCAGTGAAACCAACACAGATGCCTACAGAGGGCTCTTGCCGGGGCAGAGGGGCAGAGGCCCAGGGCCCTCATTCCCCACCCCCACCGCTGCCCTCTGAATCCACAGGGGGCCTCCCAAAGCCTTCCCCCAAACCCGAGGGCCGCTGGGCCCACACTGCTCACCTTGACTGTCCGCCGGTGCCCGGAGCCATCCCAGTAACTGAAGGTGATCTCGATCTCCTCGCCTGCAAAGCACAGCTGCCCTTGGCCTCCACATCCGGGTGTCCCCGTGCGCCCGCCCCCGGGCTTCCTCGGGGCTCAGCCTGTGCTCCTGCTCCACCTCTCCGGATCCCAGGGCCCCCCGCCCGCCGGGCTGCACACCTCCAAGTCCGCGAGTGCTTACTTTTGATCTTCTCTTGCTTGGCTTCCCACTCTTGCCGCAACTCCTCCCGAAGCCGGTTCTCTTCCTCCTGAGGGAGCAAACCAGCAGAGCAGTGAGGGCCAGCGCTGGGGTCAGGGTCAGGGCCTGGGCCAACGGCAGAGCCAGGGCTCCGTGGCCTTTACCTCACGGTCTCGGTCAGGCAAGAAGCTTGTGTCAACATCTGGATTCTTCCCTAACTTCCTCTTCTTCGTGGTGACCTCTGGAGCAGAGAATGTCGGCATTGTTATATGAAAACACTGTGAGCTTGGGAGGACTTCCAACTTACAAACCAACAACGGACACTGCCCTCCCATCCCTGGGCCCCTTAAAATGAAACCCCCAGAGGGAGACAGGAGCCCATGAAGCAGTTTCCTAAAAGCTCTGTACAAGTACACGGTGAGGAGGCGGGCACGGTGGGCCTTCCCCTCCCAAGCTGCAGCTCCTGCCACACACGGGGCTGAGCCCCCGGCACCCAGCCAGCGCCGCCTGTTACCATGGCAGCATCTGCAATCCAGCCAGTTAAATACAACTTCTTACTGAAATTACACCTGGTTCTTGTTCTGTTTCATCATGCCTGCTAAAACATGCAAAATCAAAGCCGCAGGTGGCTGGCATGTTCTCCCTCCTGAAAGCCATGCAGTGCCACCCCCTGCCTTGGTTTCCTCTTGCCCTCTTCCCAGGCCTGGGAAGCGTGATCTTTGCCCCCTCTCCGCAATGAGATTTCCCGCATCCTTCAGGCCCACCTCCATCGTTCCCTCATGGGACACTCTGCCTGACCTGTGACTGCCACTAAGACAGGGACAGGGCCTGCAGGGCCCTTGGCCAGGCACCGAGCAGGTGTACAGTACACAGGGCTGCCTCCCTCCCCAGCCTTCCCAATTTGTACCTGATGGCCCCTAATTCTGGGGCCAAACCAGTAGCCACTGAATTTCAGCAGATATGTAAGATCAGGTGGAAACTATTCAACACTGAATTAACTACTAGGGGCCTCAGTCACATGGCAAGCGCTTGGGCCACCCGTGCCAAGCGGCTACCATCTCGGGCCATGCGAACACTTCCAACGTTGCAAGGTTGGACCAGCCAGCCTGGGCTTGAGACCATCCTGCGCAGCACTAGTGAAGAGCAGCTTCTGGAACATTCGGACTGGGTACCAGTCTGCTTCTGACACTGAGCCCACACTGAGCTGTAACAAAAGGTGCGGGGGGGCCAGCATGGTAGAGTAGCAGGTCAAGCCACTGGCCTGAAGTGCCGGCATCCCATATAGGTGCCAGTTCTAGTCCCAGCTGCTCCACTTCCGATCCAGCTCTCTGCTGTGGCCTGGGAAAGCAGTGGAAGATGGCCCAAGTGCTTGGGCCCCTGCAGCCACGTGGGAGACCCGGAAGACGCTCCTGGCTTCCACCTAGCCCAGCCCTGATCATTGAGGCCATCTGGGGAGTGAACTAGCAGATGGGAGACCTCTGTCCTTCCCTCTTTCAACATATATAAATGAATAAAATCTTCTACAAAAATTTTTAAAAATTAAAACCCAGTGCAGCCTGGGACCCGTGCGTTCCTCTCCTATGCCAAGAAGCCAGGAACCCAAGCCACCACTGTGGAAGGACGAGCCCACCCGCCTGCCCCGAGCCCACGCTCACCTTCCCTTTCCAGCTCCTCCTCGTACATGGCTGCCTCCTCTTCCTCCTCAGCCCCCTCCTCCTCTTCTTCCAGGGTGAAAGACAGGCTAGAGATCTTCCGCTTGGCCTCCTTCTTGCGCTCCTTCTCTCGCAGTTTCTCCAGCTTCCTATCAAGGGCACGCAGGCGTCACGTCCCATGTCCTCCCTTCCCTGACCCAGAGCCCCCTGTGCGAGACTGCGAGATGGGACCTCCCCAGCAGCCCAGGGGCCCACGGGCACGAGCTCCATAGCCAGGAGGTGCCGCGAGCACCCACAGCTGCAGCTCCTTCGACTGCTCCTTCTTGGCCAGCTGCTTCTCCCGCTCCTTCACCAGGGCCTCCTGCTTGGCCTTCATGTCATTCAGGGTCACCAGACCTGTGAGGCAAGGGGACATGGGGCGGGTCAGCCACTCGGGCCAGCAAACCAGTGGCCCCTGGGCTCCGGCGATGACGGCACATGCGCCCTGCTCACCCACGGTGCTGGACTTGAGCTCAGCCTCCACCGCATCGTAGTGCGCAGAGAACTTCTTGTCGATATTGGATTTCATTATGTTCTCCTGTCCGGGAGTGAGAGTGGCGATGAGCACCCGCGCCCGCGCCCCTGCCCCCGCCCCCCACCGGCTACTCCAGCTGGAAACAGCACGCTTTCAGGAACTGGGTGCTGGTCCTAGATCTGCCCCTCGAGTCACTACAATGTGACCCTGGAAAAGACATGTCCCCTTTCCTTTGTTGATGGAAGGGTCCATGAGGCTGGGGGTAATGTTCCCTGGGTAGCCTGGGACCACCTCACCTTTGGCTGTTTCTGTCTGTAGCCTTTAAGCTAAAGCTCCTGCAGCCCAGAAGAATGGTCAAGGAAGCCAGCCCCTTTGGGAGCGAGTTTTCTCCCTCCAGATTCCCGATGTTGCCAACAGCTTTACCACAAGGCCTCTTCCGTGCAGCCTCAGCCACTTGGTGCCACTGAGCCACCTCTGGGGTCTCCAAAAGATGTGGCCAGCAGAGAAATCTACTTTTAGCTTGCCAGACTGTCCCTGGGCACGCAGGCCTCTGCGACACTGGTTCCCCTGCTGACAGCCCACTCTCACTGGACACTTGCTGAAGTGTTGCTTGGACCACTAGCACCCGAAGGTTCGCCTTTGGTGAGCGAACAGGGCGCACAGAGGATCTGCAATGTGCCTCAATGGCCGGCGGGGAAGCCAAGCTTTGCGGGGCGCCCCCTGCAGCTCTACTGGGGAGAGGGTCTGCCCTTCCCAGTACCCATTGGGTCAGGGCAGGAACCTCGCCCCGAGAGCGGAGGGAATCGAGCCACAATGCGCTGTGCTTGGGAAGGGCCGTGGAGGCGCCCATCAACACAAACACAGAGGGTGACATCTCTCTGCTAGACTCTAGCTACAATCCAGCTAGCTCAAATCCTGGGCCCATTTTACAGATGAGACCCGCTGGCTCGCTTCCGGCTCCTGCTGGAGGTCGACAAGCAAGGGCCCCGCCCCGGCGCAGGGCCAGCCCTCCAAGAACTCGCAGCACGCCGCCCGGGGTTTCCCAGGGCCCCAGCGTCGCACGCGGCCGCCAGGGGGCCCCGGCGGCGCGCATGCTCCGAGGCGCCCCGGCCCGCACCTCTGCAATCCGCTGCTTCATCTGCTCCATCTGCTCGCGCTGCTTTTCTCGTTTCTTCATAAGGTGCATGGCGCGGCCCGCCTCGCTTGCGGCGCCCTTGTATTGAGCCATGGCGATGGCGGCGGCGACACTGACAACGGCCCGGCTGAGTCTCGGCGGTGGCAGTGGCAGTGGCGGTGGCGGTGGCGGTGGCGGTGGCGGTGGCGGTGGCGGTGGCGGCGGCGGCGGCGGCGGCGGCGGCGGAGGCGGAGGCAGAGGCAGCGGCGGCGCAGTCAGCTGACGCGTGACGTCAGTCATCAAGAAACTGAGAGGTGCCAAACCCTAATATAATTTAAAAAAGAAGATGTGTGAGTAAAAAGACGACGCATCACGGAAAGGAAGAATAAAAAAGCAAGTCTCGAGTGTTTATGAGGCGATAGTCTCTTTGATTGGTGTTATTGTCTTGTCCTACAGTAAGAAATTTATGGGATTTCTTGACATGCTCTGACCACTTCTCATGACACTTCATCATTGAAAGGTCACACCAACTGT